TCCCCTTTCCTTAACCAGTTGACAACTGTTACAGAAACACCTTCAATAATTAGCCTTTTCCAGGCCTAATTCCTTAGCTTTCTCAAGCCCAAATACAGGAGCTACAAATTCTGTAGATGCCACATCACTATGCCCAGCTAGACCTGAGAATAAGGCACAGATGTTGCTTTCCTCATCCCTAATAGCTCTCCCAATTCCTGCAAGGCCTGGATTGCCCACACTGCTCCCATCAAAGTTCAATTTCAACCAGCCACAAGGTGGACAAGACCAGACCACTGTTTCAACTTGTCTTCTAGAAGATGAGGCAACTATAATCCCCCAAGCTCTGAAGAAATCTAAGAACAAGCTCAAGGTCTTAACCCAATGAGCCACTCGAAGGGTTATGGCCTCAACCAATGCTTCCTTAGTTCTTTCCTTTTCCCCAAAAATTCTAGAGTTTCTTTCCTCCCAAAGTGTCCAAACAACTGTTGCCCTTGTACATTTCCATAGCAGTCTACCTCTTTTAGTAGCGCACCTACAAACAAAAGGGGAAAACAGCCCTTCCAAGCTAACAAAAGAGAGCCACCTGCAACCAAAAAATTAGGCAAACCACTCCCAGCCAACAAATGGACAAGAGATTAAAAGATGAAAAGCAGCCACACCATTAACCTTGCACAAGTTGCACCAATTGGGGAACAAGCACCAGTTTGGCCTTTTTGTTTGAAGCTTATCACAAGTATTAATGCGACCATGAAACACTTCCCAACAAAAGGCACTCACTCTAGGGGGAATGGGAGGACACCAGATTTCCTTCAATGGGAAAGAGGAGGGAGGGGAGGGAGAGGAAGCAACAAGGGAATTGAAGAAGGATTTGCAAGTGAAAGCCCCAGCCAAGTTAAGGGTCCAAACCCACACCCCCATCCCCAAGAACGACAAAATTCAGCTAGGAGAGAAAAGCATAAACAATGGGAACTTCAGACTCTCTTAGGTTCCTAATGAAACCCAAGTTCCAATTTAGACCAAAAGGAGAGGGAGAGGAGCAAAGGAAGTCCGCCACCAGCCTGCCTTTAAAGCTGGAAATAGCATAAAGAGAAGGGAAGACATCCAATAAGGGGGTTTCCCCAACCCATATGTCCTCCCGAAACCTAATCTTTTGACCCAAGACCAAGTCATACCTGATGTGATTGAGGAAGACAAGAAGACAATCATGGATGGCTTTCCAGAGAGAAGCCAAGGAAGCTTTATGGAGACAAGCATCCCATCCATTGTTTGACATCCCATGAATGCTTGCTATCACTTTGTGCCAAAGTCTATCTATCACTCTCCCTCAGGAACCTCCAAAGCCACTTACTCAATAAAGCCCAATTTTTCAATCTAATATTCCCAATCCCCTACCTTCAACTTCGACACCTATTCCCACCTAATCAAGTGAGTTCTTTCCTTCCCCGAGTATGATCTTTTCCAATTTCTCACAATATCCTAGGGCATCCTAAAAACCGACATAAAATAGACATGAAGGTTCACTAAAGTAGACTTGATCAGAGTTATCCTTCCACCCAACAATATATAATTCCTCTTCCAGCCAGCAAGCCTCTTCTCAAACCTTTCCACCACTAGATTCCAAAAATTCAAAGATTTGGGGTTGTCACCAAGAGGGAGGAGGGAGCCCTAGGTACTTGATTGGCCAATTGCCTTTCTAATAGTCTAAAAAACTTGCCATATCCCCCAACATATCTTCATGCACATTAACTCCAACTAAAACACTTTTATTCCAATTAATCCTCAAGTTGGAGACCATCGTAAAGAGATTCACTACCAGCTTCAAGTTTTCCACTCCAGACCTATTGTCCCCCTCATAGAAAATTAAAATATCATCTGCAAATTATAGGTGAGTTACGTAAATTCTATCCCCTCCAACTAACCAGCCCTTAATGAACTACATATTATTGGCTCTTAAAATCAGCTTGCTAAGCACCTTAGCTACCAGGGTAAATAGGAAGGGAGACAATGGATCACCTTGTCTGAGGCCTCTAATTCCTTCAAAGAAATCCACCACTAACAATTGACAAGAACTGAGTAATGAGTAGACTGCAAACACCCTTTGATCCAATTGCACCAAAGCTCTCCAAACCTACAGCTTCTCATGATCTTAATTATCTCCCAGTCCACAAGATCATAAGCTTTATCCACATCTAGTTTCACCACAACTCCTTTCTTCCTTAGTCTCTTATGGGCCTCGACACACTCAATGGCAATTAAGAACTGATCTACAATTTGCCCATCTTGAACAAAAGCCCCTTGAAACTGAGAAATGAGTGAGGGAAGAACCTTCTTTATTTTAAGGGACAGAACCTTAGCAATTATCTTATATATGCTCGTAACCAGGATGATGGGATGACAATCCTTGGGGTGGGCAGCACCAACTTTCTTGGGAACCAAAGCTATAAAAGTTGAGTTCATTCCCGAGCTAATTTTTCCCTCCTATGAAATTCCCTAAAGGCTCTGACTAAATCAACTCTGATTATCTCCCAACAATCCTGGTAGAAAGCCACTGTAAAGCCATCGGGCCCTGGATCTTTAGATCTGTCCATTGAAAAAAGTGCTTCCTTAATTTCCTCCTCTTCAAATCTTTTCTCCAAGATCTATACTTGATCATTTCCCAAAGTCTCCCAATCAAGACCTTCAATTGACCAACTCTTATTAAGTGGTCTACGAAAGATTGACCTAAAGTGATCTGCAATGGCCTTGGCTATCTCAATGTGATCAGTAATCTCAGTCTCCCCCAAGCTCAAGGAAGTAACTAGGCTCTTTCTTCTTCTGCCATTTGCAATGGCATGAAAAAAAAAATCTCGTATTACCATCACCTTCCTTGATCCATTTCTACCTAGACATATATTTCCAACAAATTTCCTCTCTGAGAAGAGTAACCTCTAGTTCCTTCTTCATAGACCACCACAAATCTCTGTCACTATCTGATAGGGGACCCTCCATCTTTTTATCAATCTGAGAAATCAGACTTGTTTTCTTTTCCTCTAGTCTCCCAAAGGTCAATTTGTTCCGCTCTTTTATTCGTTCTTTGATAAACTGCAATTTTTTTAAGAACTTTTGGCCTTCCCAAAAAGGTGGTTGAACCAGAATATCCCACCACTCCTTAACTTTGACTTTGAACTCCGGATGGGTAAGCCACATGTTTTCAAACCTAAAAGGGGACGGGCCTCCATCAAATCTCTTCTGAAACATGCAAATTGGCTAATGATCTGATGTAACTCTAGGCAATGTTCTTCCCAACAAATCTGTCCAATGTTCTTCCCAATGTAGAGAAACTAAAAATCTATCAAGCTTAGAGCAGATTTGATTAGCCCGAAGGTTTGACCAAGTAAACCTAGAATGCCCGAGAGGAAAGTCCTTCGGTTCAAAATCCTCTATGAACTCGTAGAATTTCCTCGTACTCATAGTGACCCTTCCTCTACCCCCCATTTGTTTCTTCCAAATATCTGATTATGTTAAAACCTCCCCCTAAGCACCAGCCCCCCCCCCCATAGCCCTCTAATATTTGCCAATTCCTCCCAGAACAAATTTATCTCTCTATATGAGTTTAGCCCATAGACGTTTGCAAGTACCCATTCAAACCAATCATGTACATTCCTCAGTTTTACTGAGACTGAGAATTTGCCCACCAATTCCTCAGTATGCTGCATTGTTTCCTCTTTCCGGGCGGTGATTATGTCCCCCAAGGCTCCTCCTTCCGGACGATGATTATGTCCCCCAAGGCTCCCCAAGAAGGGGCAAAGCTCCATCTTATGTTCCTTTCTCCCCGAATTCCTTAATCCATTTATTATCAACCTCCTGAATTTTAGACTCTTGGATCAGCACTAGGCCAGGTTTTTCTTTTCCCAACACTTCCTTTATTGCTCTCCTCTTTGTAGCACTCCCTAGACCCCTCACATTCCAGCTAATAATCTTCATGGTCAAGGCTAATAAAGTCCCCTAGCCTTTAACTAACTACAAACCTCCCTTTCTCCCCCCCCCCCCCGCACCAAATTCCTTATCCCCATCAACATCGTTTAAGAGTTTCTCAACTTCATTCAGCTTCTTCCTTCTTTTACCCCCATTTATCATTGCCTCTCTTAGGTGAAGGGTCCATCTCCTTGGCCTTATCCACCTTTAGCCTCATTTTAACTGCCATGTCAACCACAGGATCCTCCCGTCTACAATTCTTGTCCATTTACTAACCCATTAGATCATCTCTGAAGATCACCTTGTGATTTTAATTCCACAGGTTTATCATTCTCACCCCTGTTTTTCATCTATTTCCTCCACTCCCCCATTTTTCCCCTTCACCAGAAACCATCTTTCACTAGTAATAATCTATAATCTTCATTCAAAAAGCATAAACTCCATATTAAAACATGGGAAATCAACATAAAACATGAAAAATATTGACTAAAAAAAGGAAAAGATGAAAGAAAAAAAAAATCAGAAAATATAGGGGTCATAGGAAAAGAAGAAAAGAAAGGGTGGTGTTGTGGAGACATCATGATATGGCACACCAAATAACTCCAGCAGTGAAAACACACCAATTATACAAACCCACCAAATGGGTCAATTAATTACTTGATATCTAGCGGTGGAAATAGGTTAAGTGGTGAAGATCATTTCTTTCACCGCTTAATCCATGTCATCTATTAGAAGGTGGTGGGGGTTGGCAACTAATTTAACATTTTAAACAATTTTTGTAATTCCCATTATACCCCTGGTGTAGCCAACCCCAAATACTTAGAGCAAGGTTCTAATGAGTTGAATTGAGATGACCAACATCAGTAGAAGACTATATAATAGCACTATTTCACCACAAAGTTTCTTGCACACTAATGACTAACCCATCAACTATCATTAATAAAAAGAAAAAACAGAACATCATAAACAATAGAGGTATAGACAACATATAAAATTAGCATGAGTACAGAAAATCTAATTTTGTCAGCAAACACAAATCAAGTATTTGTTTTGAATATTTATACCTCATCCATAACAAGCATTGAGCAATATTTCAAGATGCAAATACCCTTTTTTGCAAGATCAAGTATCCTGCCAGGAGTCCCAACAAGCAAATGGACAGGTTGATACAAACGCATAATATCATCCTTTAAGCTAGTTCCTCCAGTGGTGACCATGACTTGGATCTTCAAATGCTTCCCAAGCTCCTTACAGACTTGTGATGTCTGAAGAGCCAATTCTCGTGTTGGGACCAATATAACAACTGCATCAATGTAACAAAGTAACACCACCCACTTATCCATGAGAAATACTGATGCAATTAAATTTACATATCACAAATAGATGCTTTACACTTAGCTAAACAACATAACTATAACAAAATTTAAGAACTCATGGAAACCTAGGCTCCATTTGGTTCATTAGAAAAATCCAATTATGGAAGGAAAGAGCTTACTGACTCCTGCCTGCTCATATAGGTAAAAGCAAGAAAATGCTCACCCAGGAACAGCCTCATATCCATAACAGCCAAAATAAGCACTTCTATGATCACCAAGGGCCTGTTTGGGAGGGCTGAGCTGAAAATAAGCTTTGACTCAGCTGCTTTGGCTCGGGTGCATAAATAACATAAGCTATGTTTTTTGACAACTGGCTTAACTGCCTTGGTAATCAGAGAGGTCAGATAATCTTGCCAACACACCACGAATAAGCTATTCAAAGAGGCTAAAGAAGACAGCTCTTCAACTGGCCAATCAACAGCTAATTTGGCTCTCCGGATTTTTCACCAAATATAGCTTATAGGCTGTCTGTGTGGACCCCACACACAAGCAGCCAGAAGCCAATACTTCAGCCCTCCCAAACGGGCACCAAAACTATAGAACAAGCTCGACCTTTCTTACTTATTATTGAACCTCACTAGGTGCCATATCATGTCAGATACTTCAAATTTTAACATAAATTCAATGTTTGACAGCATGTTCAATTGTGCCCTTGCCATTTCTATGAATGAATCAGCCTAATATTTCATAGCCGTGTGTACATTTGTTACCTTGGTTGCTTTTTTTTCTGGATGCCAGGAAACAGAATAAAATTTTCCAGTTTAGCTCTAGTGCAAATACCATTTCTAGTTTAAGTGATTACTGATTAATATACTTTCTTCCAGGATAGAAGAAAGCATTCCAAATTACTCCAAGTCTCTAACTAGAAAATATTCTTGTCAGAACACTATCAGGAAAAACCTGCACAACTAGCTCAGTTTTTTTTTTTTTGATAATTAACTAGCTCAGTTTTTTCTTTAAAAGAATGTAACTAAGTGTAAAGGTAAGCACCTTGAATAACATTGTTGTCCTGATCAATTTTTTCCAATGCAGGAACGCAGAATGCAGCTGTTTTCCCAGTTCCATTTTTAGCCCTAGCAAGAATATCACTTCCTGTTAAAGCAATAGGAATACTTTCTTCCTGGATAGGAGAAGGTCTTTCAAACCCCTTCTCATAGATTCCCATTAGGAGCTCACGCTTCAGAAAATAGTCCTCAAATTCATTTCCTTTAGTAGCTGTAACATCCTGGAAATACAAGAAAATCAAATTAGGATACATACAGAAATAAGTACATACTATGAAATAATAACATCAATTAATCTGTAAAACTAAGTTCCCATCATCATAGTTTGACCAACTAAAAAGGCCTAATGTACTTTTCCTTGTAAATTTATTTCAGGAGAAATAGTTGTAGCAGTAGAAAATAAAAACAGCAATACCAACAATAAGAATGATAATAAGAAGATAAATCCACCTCCAACGGTGACAGCATAAATAACACATTTCATCAAGGGAAAACAGATATAGCAATAAACAAATAATAACAGCAATAGCAACAATAACTATGACAATAAAAAGATAAAACAACCTCCAGCACCAAAAGCAATAACAATACTGGGACTGCACTCAAGCTTGTGACTGATGTACCCTTCCATTTCTTCATGGTTCAGGTGAACCACAAGGATAATTCATTTACACAAGCTTGCAATTTGGGGGGTGGGGCCTAGATTGTTGGTATCCAAATGAGCCCAAGTGATGATCATCCAGGTCAACAACTCACTACTAGGTTGGACCAGAGCTGATATGCATTGTCCCTTGTTGAGGAGACACACCAGAGAAGAACATCCAGATCCCCACTAAGTAAAGTAGGGAACTAGGAGACTTTCTCATCCCAGTCAAAAAGGTTTTTGGAGCAGTTAACATGGATACATCAAGAAGGAGATTCACATTTCATTTAAGTTTCATAATCATTTAAATTTCATACCTCTGTCTTGTAACGTGTATCAGTTGGAGGTATCTTCAGCCGCGCCTTCCAATCTTGAGAACTAAGATTAAAAAGAATGCAAAAGAAAAAGTTTCAATCCTTGGGCAAAGGAAACAAAAATAAATATAAGACTTAGATGCACTAACTGCAACCAAAACTGAAGTCCAGAATGGATTTCAAAAGTTAAGGGTGGCTTATCCACATCTAGCACTTGGACATAAGAACAACCTTTTTTTTTTGGATGAAGGACATAAAAACAATTTCTCCAATAATTTATTTGATAAGTAACAATTTCTCCATAATTATATAGAATGCTTCTGTTTGCTAGGTGAAACTGCAAAGTGAAAAAGTTTGCCAATCTCAAATAGTTTCAGATGCTAGCACTGGTTCTTATAGGGTGTGGCACAATATGCAGAGTTAATGTGCAGGCCAAGGGATCAAGGAATGACCACCTAGATGCCCCAAAGGTCCCAGATGGTGGGACACCAATGCTTCGTCTGGAAAAATGACAACTTTTATAAGGGGCTTGGACTTCCATTATCTGGTTACAGATCTTTATTATATTCTGTTCAAGAGGTCATGTTTGTTAGCTCTATTGTTTTTGCAAAGTTTCATATGAGCCTCAGCCCATTTTTTACAACCAAAGTGAACTTCAGTTATTTGGCATAAAAAATAAAGAAAGAAAATATTCAAGTTACAAATAGAAAGTTATTTTTGGTAATTTACTTGCCAAAATCACATTCCAACATTCTGACATGTGTCCAGTGGATTCACTTCATCTTTTCCAATATCTCATAGATTCGTAAATTTGGAATTGTTAAATAAAATCTTTTCACTTCAACCCGTGGATATGGGTTAATTAGGTATTGGAGTATTAAGAAATGATTTAAGGGATGACAACTTAAAAATGGATATGGCACCAAACAAAATGAAATGGTGAAACAATATTCATGTAACCAACCCCATATGGTTGGGACAAGGCTTAGATGATGATGAGGCATTATTAAATAAAAAGTAGTAAAGACATGCTAAACTCTTCTACATATGTTGATATATAATGAACATGTATTCCTTTTGTAAGTAGTGTTTCCTCCCTTTTTTAATAATTTAAGAAATCTCATAGCAAAAGAATATAAGAAAAGTACATACAATTTTCAATTCAAAGAAGTGCAGCTGTTGTTTTCTACTAAACTTTCCAGGAATCTCTAGAAAATACAAAGAGAAAAAGGTTTAGGCATTTTTTAGGCTATCTTGGTCTTGTGATGGAAGTGCAAAAATTCAACCTAAATTTGTTCAACTTGACCAAATTCTAATGTGTTTATAATCTAAAGTTCTCAACTGATTAGGAAATTCAAAACACCATCAACGTTCCACCCAAATTATGTAATATTTAAAATTCTTCCACAGATATTTCAGAACCCTTAACATGGGAAGTTGCATGAGACACCTTTATAGATTTCAAGGATGATGCATTCCATGCCTACAAGTATAGATGAAGCATAAATGAATCTGAATCAAAGAAAAATAGCTACATGTGGCCTCACCCACAACCATCAGATTCTAGAATGAAAGCATCAGTGTTACTAACCAACAAGGTTTTAACTGAAACTGATTTATGTAACCAACAAGAACATTGGAATTGACCAAAAGAATGATTTATGTACAAACTATGCCATGCATTCCAAGGAGATTGGTACGTAAGAGGGTTAAGCAAAGCTGGAAAAGTAGCTTGGAGCATCCTTCCCACAGCAGTTTTCTGGGTAGTGTGGTGTGAAAGAAATAGCAGAATTTTTGAACAGTGTCAGAGAACAAAAGAAGAGGTTTAAGATTTTGGGAATGGTGTTTTCATGGTTGGAAAATCACTCTCCATTCAGAATTAGAAAGACACACAAGTTCTATTTTTTATCAAGATTTTATTTTTGTAAGAAATATATAGTTGTTGTTAACTTCAGGTGTATTGGGTCTGTTTTCATTGTACAGGGATTTCCCTTGTATTGATTTTAAATATTAATGAAATACCTTACCTTATTCTTCAAAAAAAGAAAGAAGGTCCAACTCCTTGATATAAAACCAAATTGATCTGATCAAAGTTTTAAGGAAGCAGACATGAAGTATCATCACTCATGAGGGATGAAAAAACTCACAGAACATGTGACACAAGGATCATAATGGAGCTACCAGAATCTCTAATATGTCACCAGAATTGTGACTGAAAACTCTACATCTTTTTGTCATCAAAATACAATTTCTCTCTACTAAGTGACAATCGAGCTTTTTTTTCAATTTTCTTGATGGAAATTTCCAAGGACCATAAAATGCAATTCCTTTGTTTCATATTCATGGTTTAAATTACTTATTGCAACGCAATTCTTAATTATCTTTCAATAAACTACACTATCATGGCTTAAATTTCCTTCTTGTTCTCCCTTATTTCAATCATTACCCTTCTTGGAGTGATGTGAACCTCTGTAAAGACTAAAGAGGTGATCTCTATGTTTAAAAGAGTCAGACATTAGATTCCATGAAAGAAACCAACAAAGAATATCGACCATTTTCTATGTCAAACATATATTTGAACAGAACCGAGTACAGCCTCATTTCTTCATCATTCAAATCTAAATAGTTCTAAATTGTTTTGAAAAAAGAAAAGGTTCTAAATTGTTAGCCCCGTAATGTGGCCTGGAACTTCACCATACGTACATACATTAGAATCAGAAATTCTTTTTCGTTTTTATAAACACTGCCTTGCCTTATGTATATACTGTTTTACTTATATATTCAGTGTGACCAGATAATTGCATAGGCTCCATTTGTTAGCAATGCAAATTACACACTGGTTCAAAAGGCAAATATATGAAAGTACAAATTCTGGTTTACTTTTCTTTCAAGTCTAAATTTGTTTACCTTGTTTGGGAAGAGAAAAATTGGAAGCAAAATGATTTATAATGACAATTAAATTTGTACGGGTGCAAAATACAAATATGTGGAAGTGCAAATGGGCTGAGTGCAAATTCTGGTTTACTTTTGTTTCAAACATTCAATTTTAAATTTGTTTTGTTTGCATGGGAGGAGCAAAATTTGGAAGTAAAAGTATGCAGCCCCTTACTAACATAGGGAAACTATTTAAGCACTTTAACTAATAAAGTCTAGATGAGGTAACCATAAGCCCAATCCTGTTTCATGCAAAACTGCCCTTCCCTTCTCTTTCCATACGAAACTGATGGAATTTCACGAAGGAATTGATACTGAACAGAAAAGAAATTTAAAATTTGTAAAAAGCAGGAAAAATAGAGTAAGAAAAAGAGGAAAACTCGTACCTCGAATCAACAGCTTCCGACTGTACTGTTTTTTCAACTTCGTTAGAACCAGATTCAGTCCCCATGGGATTCCTTCTCAACCACTGCTGTTGCTGCTGCTGCTGAAACTGCTGCGGGTTTTGCACGGTACTCCTCTGCACATACTGTTGTTGAGGGTTTCTGGCTTGAAAATTAGGGTTTGCGTTAACGTTTCCACCGCGACCGTTACCGATCCCGGGTGGATACCTACCTCGCGTATTCATTAGACGGGTTTAGCAGACTCAATGAGATTGTTCAATTTCAATACAACTGAAATGACAATGGAGATGCCAAAAGAATAAAAAAACGGCACTGAAACTACAATCGACGAGACTATGTCTAATGTGTCAAATACCCCAGGTGGATTTGAGTTGAATAAGTTCTAATTAGGGCAAAATCATGGAAAAGTAACGCCATTTTTCCGACTGACCATGGCTTTTCCGCCCCTAACCTCGAAGAGTTACTAAAAAACAAAGGTAAACGAGAGAAGAAGTCAAAAGATCTGATGCAAACAGAAGGAAAAACAGATCACAAAGGGAAAATAACAGAGAAACAAACGCTTTTAGGTGTAAGGTCGCTGATCCTTTCGTGCCCTAGTTGCAGAGCTGCGCGTAGCGGTTGAGAGGATTTTTGGTTTCATGACCGTTTTTTGGGAAGAAAGGATTTTCTATTTGTTGTAGGGCATCTATGGGAGTTCTCGAATTGGCAATAACCCCTTGTTCGAATTTCCGATGCCTCTCTGCCAATGCCCAATGCTAATGTTTCTAGACCCGGTCTGGACCTGATGGTCGGACCGTTATCCGGGAACCGCAGGTCATTCCGGTTTTTTAAACACCAGGTTTCAAATTTCTGAAAAAAACGGTAAAACCGTTAAAAACCGATCGGGTTTTGACGATCCAACCGGTTTCAATGACCTGCTCGGGTCAGCAAATGCTTAAAAACTTAAAACATCAATTGTGAGATTTGAAATCGTGACAGCTTATATATGCATCTTTTTTTTCGGTAGCGGTAGCGGAAGGGCGCACGTGCATATAGCGTTAAAAACATATAAATGTTGTATGCACTCTAAGTTTGACCAATTTGTCATGTGAAAAAAAAAATTAAGGCTCCGTTTGGTTGCGGTGTAAATGTCGGACCGGTGTAGTATTATACTTCGGTTCGATTTTGCGGATGTTTGGATAGAATGTAAAAGAACAACGAAGATCGATGTAAAATTCCATTTTGAGAGGTTTTTATACCGATAATCAATGTAAAAAATACATTGAAAAAATCAATGTAAAACCTCTTTGCTTCTCCCATCAAAGTAAAAGTACTCCCACTCGTAATAATGTCTCTCTTCTCTATCTCCTTCCTGCTCTATTTCATCCCTCCTTCACCGGTGTTGCTGTTTCTCCATGGTGCATTGAAGCTCGTCGTTGAAGCTGCTTCGCCAGTGTTGTTGCTTTTCCATTGTTGCTTCGTCGTTTCATCCCTGCTTTTCCGGCCTGATGGAGTCTCTAGGAATTACCCAAGCACAAATTCCTCGGTGCTTCTCCCATTAAAGCTAGCCACTGATAAGAGTCTACCATATGTCGAGGTCTTGGTCTAAGGTGGAGTGCCTTCAAATTCAAATCATAAAGCCAACAAATGGCATATTTATACTTGCCTCTAAAACCTGAAGCAGCTTGATTATTACTGCATAGGACCCAAAATGGGAGATGGAGGAAATGCCGCTGAATAGGGTAATGGAAGACATGATCAAAGTTTCTGCCATTCAACAACCCATTTGCTTTTTGATGGTTGAGTTTTAGTGTATGTCTCCAACCCGAAACTTTAATTACAATTTCTCAGCACTCTATCGGAGGATCAAAGTTTCCACCATTGTTTCTTTTCTGTCTCTAACTGTTGAACACGCTATAAAGCGATTCGATGCAAGGTATTGTATATTCCCTCAACTTAAACTGCAAATATGTTCTTAAAAAAAAAAAAAAAAATTGTAATAGTGTCACCATTGTCACTTGGATGGTTTTGGAACCCTCAATCAGTTCGTAACTATTCGACAAAATGCCTCACAGCACAAGCATCAACCATCTCACTATGGTTCTATCATTTGAGCCTCCATTGAAAAGGGTTCCCCATAAAAAGCCCTTATGGACTACAAAACAGTTCTCTACAAGGTCACCCAATTCCATCAACGAACACTTCACTAACGTTATTAAATCTGGATTCCAATCCTATCCATCATTGTATCCTCTTTGATAGCAAACTATGTTGCCTATGGTCGCATTGACGATGTCAGTCAGCTTCTCAGTGAAATTCCGAGGTGGGGTTTTGATCTGATATCTGCAAATTTAATTATTGCAAATTGTATGAAGACATGAGAGTTTATATGCAGAGTATTTTCCCATTGTATCTTCTGTACAGATCCTACAAACCCAACGACCGTTATTTAAACAAGGGTAGAGACTTACATCGATGGTTATTCTCCAAACATTTGTAAAAGTCCAACTTATATTTTACATTGTTCAGCCAAACACGGTGAATGTAAATATCGGTTCGATATTCCCTTTTTATACTCTCAACATTCAATCAATGTAAAACTGCTTGGTGTAAATTTAGATTTACACCACAACCAAACGCAGACTAAACAAAATAATAAATTATTATTTTTTTCTTCATTAAAAGAAAACACGGAAAATATTCTCATATTTAGAAAGTAGATTGATTATTAAGCACTCAATCAATAATCAATCACAGATTGTTAAAGTCCAAAATTTAGGTGAATTCTAATTTGAAGTCTTCAAATTCAATTAGATTTCAAAAAGTTGAAAAGTTATTAACTTTTTAATATTTTTGTATTTTAAAAGTTGAAGCATAATCAAATTAAATCTGAATCCAATCCGAGTCCATTAGGATTTGAATTTGAATTTTACGTCTTCAAATCCAATGATTGTGTTTGCTTGCGGTGTAAAACTCCATCGATGGAGTACATTGATGGTTTAAAATCTATGAACCATTGTGCTTTGAAAAACATGATTATCGATGTAAAACTCTACTTACATTGATCTAAGATGTAAAACTCAATTCCATCAACACTAATAAATCTAAATTGGAAGTGGAGTTTTACATTGATATTGATTTTCACTGCAAACAAACACTAACAAAAACAAACCGGCAATAGAATTTTACACCGTAAACAAATGTTGCCAAACGTAGCCAAGCCAAATCGATTAGGATTTAAATTTTAATCCAATAATTGGATCTATTTAGATTTTATTGGACCCAATCCACATCCAATCCATTTATTACCTTAAGAATTAAGAGATAAGAGATAACAAAGTGGGGCATTAACAAATTTAGAAGGGCACTTTAAGGAAATAAAAAAAAGTTGATCATATGAAAAACTTTTTATTTTTTGTATATATTAAAAGAAAAATTAGAGTGGAACCAGATTAAATCCACATTCAATTCAAGTATGTTCGGATTTGAATTCAAATATGAGGTCTTCACATTCAATTGGATTTTTGGAAAGTTGAAAAGTAATTTAACCTTTTTTTTTCATGTGTTTAAAAATTAAAGCAGAATTGGATTAAATCTGAATCCAATCCAAATCCATTAAGATTCAAATTCAAAATTTAGGTCTCCAAATCCAATTAAATTTCGAAAAGTTAAAAAGTAATTAACTTTTTATTTTTTTATTTAAAAAAAATTGAAGCAAAGTTGGATTAATTTGAATCCAATATTAATACCTTAAGATACGAATTCAAATCCAATAATCGGTTTGGATTCGAATTTGCTGAATCGGGTCCCGATCCATTTACAATATTAAAAGAAAAGAGATAACAAAGTAGGGCATTAATAAATTCATAAGGGTGGTTTGAGGAAATAAAAAGTCAAACATTTACGGAAAGATGGAGAGCATTAAACTCCCTCAACAAAAACCATAAGATTCTGATATTTACATAGGCATGATGCTTGGATCCATAAATGGAACCTCTAGTACACTTGGGTGTAATTCAAATGTACCATGGGACTTGATAAGGTTTGATGGATGTTAAAAACTTTGCACATGTTAAAAAATGTGTGGGTTCATAATAAAATCAAAGGATTGGATCCAAAGTGTATCAGGAAGCTTGTAGGGAAGAAAGAAATTAAAAAACTGACAAGTCAAAAAAGTTGTTACCTGACATGCGTTGGGACTCAATAAGTCTACAAAACCTAATAACCTCTACAAGGGGTAAAATATGGAAAGAAAAGTCAATCAATGATGAAAGGCTCAGCGTTAAACTATCATTTAATTTTATTATAGGTATAGGTATATGGAAGAAGGCTGAAAGGTACAAAAAGATGGGAAAGAAATTATGGTGGGTAGAGATCTTGGTGAGAGCCTTGGAAGAAGGCTCTAAGCCAAGGATGCTGCTAATCGGTAGTACATTGAAAGCTTGTATTTGACTCTTGCACCTTTTTTGCTATGAAGTGAGGAAGTGAGTTTTGCTCCCTCTTAATGAATTCAAAGGAGATAGATTAGTGCTTTCTTGTGCACGACTTGATGTCCTGAACAAGCGGAAGCAATGAATCGAAGCAGCTTGGGGTAGCTTGAATCTTTTCTATAGCCTTTCAGAGAGTCTGATTTTCACCACGACCGGCCTTCTCAAGCTTACATACTTCAAAATCCACAAGGTGAGCCTAATGGCTCGAAGCTCTGCTTCCAAAGGGGAGGCACAAGTGGCCTTAATGCCCTTTTCTAGGAATAGAGAGCCTTCACTCCAAAACACAACAAAGGTGATGGTTGTAGAGTAGGAGTCACTTTGAAAAGCTGCATTGCAAAGTATGATCGAGGCATCACTAGTAACAACTGTTCAGGTGAAATTGAGGACTTTCTGTTGGGGAATTTCCAAAGAAAAGAAGAGGAGACCATGCATAATTCGCAATGGGTCAGCTAGAGAATTGTTGAATATTGCTTCATTTCTCTTTCCAAATGAACCAACACATGCACACCAAAGAAGCTACCCACAAACCTCTGTCTTGATGAGGAATGTTATTGCTTTCAAAGTAGTCTAAAATCCAGGCATTGAAATTTTGGTGAGAGACTTCACTCGATCTGATGCCCATATTACTCGCCAGCCATGCAGCCCAAGCTACATTACAATATAAAAAAACATGCATAATACTCTCCTCGTTGTTTTTGCATAAATAGCAAGTGGTATCATCGGATATCCCCGAGCAACCAGGAGCTATATATCGAACAACAACAACATTAGCATACACTCTCCATAAGAAATGTTTGATCTTTGGGAGCATCCAAACACTCCACATCTTTTTCCACAAAGAAGGGGTAGGCTGATAATTTTGCATTGTTGTTGTACTGGGGCAGGGGTGGTTGGCTTGTGAAAGATAAGCCAGGTGGTATCCAGATTTAACAGAGTACTCTCCTGAATCATTGAAGGCCTAAATAATGGTATCTTCACCCTACTCTTTACTTAGAGGAATAAACTAAATTGCCAAAAGAAGTTTGCATTTTGATTGTTTATTAGTTTACTACATAGCTTCTTTGGGAGCTTGAAATGGATCATGGTGTAGCTAGGAATAGCGGTTGAGACTGCTTTAACTAGAGTTTCTCTGCCAGCCTGCTGGGTTAGTAATGATCTTTTCCATCCTCTCAATTTAGATGCAACATGGTCTAATAAATTATTAAAAGCTTTTGTCTTTTTGTTGCACCCAATCTGGTTT